AACCCCTATCAAATTACCCAGGACATATCTCACAGAACTAGAACAAATGATAATAAAATTTATATGGAACCACAGAAGACCTAGAATTGCCACAGCATTACTGAAAAAAAGAAAGATGCTGGAGGAATAACTCTCCCAGACTTCACACAATACTACAGAGCTACAGTAATCAAGAAAGCATGGTATTGGTACAAAAACAGACATATGGACCAATGGAACAGAATAGAGAGCCCAGAAATGAACCCACAAACTTTTGATCAACTAATCTTTGACAAAGGAGGCAAGAATATACAATGGAATAAAGACAGTCTCTTCAGTAAATGATGTTGGGAAAACTGGACAGCAGCATGTAAGGCAATGAAGCTAGAACACTCCCTTACACCATACACAAAAATAAACTCAAAATGGATCAGAGACTTAAACATAAGACAAGATACAATAAACCTCACAGAAGAAAATATAGGCAAAACATTATCTGACATACATCTCAAAAATGCTCTCCTAGGGCAGTCTACCCACGGAATAGAAATAAAAGCAAGAATAAACAAATGGGACCTAATGAAACTTACAAGATTCTGCACAGCAAAGGAAACCAGAAGTAAAACAAAACAACAACCTATGGAATGGGAGAAAATTTTTGCAAATGAAACCAACAAAGGCTTGATCTCCAGAATATATAAACAGCTCATACGACTTAAGAAAAAGACAAACAACCCAATCCAAAAATGGGCAGAAGACCTAAACAATTCTCCAAGGAAAAAATACAAATGATCAATAGACTCATGAAAAAATGTTCAATATCACTAATAATCAGAGCCATGCAAATCAAAACTATGATGAGGTATCACCTCACACCAATCAGAATGGCCATCATTCAAAAGTCCACAAATGACAAATGCTGGAGAGGCTGTGGAGAAAGGGGAACCCTCCTACACTGCTGGTGGGAATGCAGTTTGGCGCAGCCACTGTGGAAAATAGTATGGAGATTCCTCAAAAGACTAGGAACTTACCATATGACCCAGGAATCCTGCTCCTGGGCATATATCCAGAAGGAAACCTACTTCAAAATGATACCTGCACCCCAACGTTCATAGCATTGTAAATAGTGCTTATTTACAATAGCCAAGACATGGAAACAGCATAAATGTCCATCAATGATGACTGGATAAAGACGTGGTCTATTTATACAATGGAATACTATTCAGCCATAAAAACTGACAACATAACACCATTTGAAGCAACATGGATGTTCCTGGAGAATGTCATTCTAAGTGAAGTAAGCCAGAAAGAGAAAGAAAAATACCATATGAGATCGCTCATATGTGGAATCTAAAAAAGATAAAAATAAATAAATAAATACAAAACAGAAACAGACTCACAGACACAGAATACAAACTTGTGGTTGCCAGGGGGACGGGGGGTGGGAAGGGACAGACTGGGATTTCAAAATATAGAATAGATAAATAAGACTGTACTGTGTAGCAAAGGAAAATACATAAAGGATCTTGTGGTGGCTCACAGCGAAAGAGAATGTGACAATGGATGTATGTACGTTCATGTATAACTGAAAAACTGTGTTCTACACTGGAATTTGACACAACATTGTAAAATGACTATAACTCAATAAAAAAAAGTTTAAAAATTTAAAAAAATAGTAAGAAAGAAGTAAGCCTTTCTTATTCTAACCCACTGAGCTTTTGGGGTTGTTTCTTTGGGAAAATCTAGCTTAATCTTGACTGATACAGAGCTGATCAATAGCTGTGGTATTTATTATATTTGCAAAATTGTGTCTTCTCTCTCCTGTCGATGATGTGGCCCATCTGGAGAAGCAAAGCTGATGTGGCCATGAACTTCAGTCTTCACTCAGATCTCTTCGACACCCAGAGGAGTCTAAGTGCTTGGTCCGTGGAAAATCATATTAAAATCTTGGCCTTGTATTTTCAAGCACCTCAAAATTCCGGAGTGTCTCGCTCTGTCTTACTTTCTTCCTCCTAAAAAACTCTCTTAATTCGTGCCTTTCTGTCGAGGCACTGTGGTTCCACCTTCAAACACTGCGCAGCCTCCTAAGGAGGAAAGTTCTACCTCTCTGATTAATTTTCTACCAAGAATCTCAGCTTCTGTCCCTTCCACAGAGGGCACAAGAGGAGAACGAGTCTAACCAAGTAAAAAGGCTAGAGAAGGTTGTGAACCCCCACAGCTAGAACTGTTTACCTCAAGGCAAATCATGGTCATTTCTGCTAGTGTCTCAGTGTCTTTACTGCTGTCTCTTTTGTTTTCTTTCTTGACTAGTTCAAAAACCAGGTAGGAAACAGGAGGTTTCTGAGGCGTCCCTCAAACCCCAACAAAGTCCTTGCAGGAAGTTTCCGTAACAACAGTTCATTGATTGCGCATTATCCCTTTGCTGCATGGGAGGGTCACGGGTGCCGTGGTAAGTCGGAGAGCAAGATGGGAACACCTTGTTGTAGCCTCGTTCGGGTCTCTTCCACCGGTGACTCCTTCCTGGCACCATCAAGTTTGCACAGCACTCCAACCAGAGGTCCAGTTCCCACCCAAGAAGATCGATACTTTCATGACACGTGTGCAAAGGGCTCGCTGATCCCCCAGGGCAACCTCAGTCTTGGTAGCAGGTTTCCAACCGACCCTCGAAAGTCTTCCCTTCTGCGTTGTCGGTTTGTCTGCTCTTCCCATTCAAACCTGAACTCTCTCTCTGCCGCACTGATGCAGAAGGGAACATGTGACTACTTGAAGAGAATGATCAAAAACACAGGAAACTACCCTCTGAACCTCTCTTTCCAATGTCACGTGATTTCTGACTGTTTCATCCTTCAGACACACAACACTGACTTCTTCACGAGGGCCTTCTGGGCGTCACAAACGTGCACATCACAGGAAAGCAGCTTTGACCAGGCCACGGAGTTTACTTCCCAGATCTATGAACCATGGCTGACTGCTGATCCCTGCCTCCCCTACTGGCATGATGACTACTTTCGGGGCTGTCAACAAAGTCAGGTGCTCGCACAAGGTCCAATCTACAGCACTCTGATTATAAGAAACAATCTGGAATCTTCTTTGATCCGCTCGTTTACTCATGAAATCCAGCAGGTCACTGAGTCTTGCTGCAACGTCTCTTGGGACCCTCTTCTATTCTCAGTCTTCTCTACTTTTATCCTTGTTCAGGTCCCTGGCATCTCTTGCCTGGGCAACAGACCTAACTAACTGGTCCTCCTGCCCAAAGTCTCCACCCTCTGGTGCCATGGTCTTGGTGACCAACAAAACTACCTACTGCCTTATGGCTGCTCAGCACAGGGGCAAAGAGCATGGGTGTTAGTGTCAGGTAAGAGCAAGGTTCAAGTCCTGACTCTGCCCCAAGAGGGCAGGTCCTTTCTTCATCTCTGACAGGGAACTGTAATGACACCCACCTCGCAGAGTTTGGGAGGACTGAGCGGAGTAATGTGTGTAAGGCTCTTAGCACAGTGTTTTGGCATCCAGTAAGAGCTCAATAAGTGTTCATTATCCTATGTTCCAAGCATTTGAGGCCCTGCAAGTTCTGATCACAGCAGACCGTGCAATCCCTGTCTCCTGCAGTCTGCACAGAGGATGTGACTCCTCGTCCAGAGGGTCCCACCCTGTGCTTCCCAGGCGCTGCTGGTCCACAAGCCCTCAAATGGATCAGAACTTTACTTTCACCTCTAGCATGCACATCCCGGAAATGTAAAGAGAGTAATCAGACTGTCGTGTTATCAACAAGGCTTTCATTAGGAGACAATACTCTAAAATCACCCATATAGATGATATGTTGCTTTCTGAAATTGGTACAATTTTGGGATGTCCTGATCATCTTAATCTCTCAAGAACAAAGGTCATCTTTTTAAAGCTTACGCTGCCACCTTAAATGCCCACACACATGCTCTTCTCAGACTCACCAGAAGGGGGAGTGCCTGCATAAAGCAGGGATCTAGAGCACTGCCTCTCCGGGGGACAGCTATTTGCTCCAGAAGTCATAATCCAGGGATACTGTGTGGGGTTTTTTTTGTTTTTTTTTTTTTAATTATCAGAAGCCCATAAGACGGAGGCATCTCTGCTCTTGCAGCTCTTCATCCATACCTGTCATAGCACAGCCCAAGCTTGCTATTCTTATCAAAATGAATTTTCTGTAATTTTCAGGACTAAATTCTAGTTCCAGACCAGAATACCTGAGTTACCTGAATTCCAAACTGGCAATGACTCCTATTCATGCTTCATTTCATCCCTGGTAGCTTACACAGAGTGAACACATCATCACGCTCAAGAGGACAGACTCTGGATTCAAACCCTGCCTCTGTCACTGGCTAGCTGTGTGATCTTGGGTAAAATGCTTCATCTCTCTGTGCCTCAGTTCCCTCATCTGTAAAATGGGCACAACCACGGCACCTCGCTCCTGGGTGGCTGTGAAGATTAAATGAGTCAATATGTGCAAGGACTTAGAACACTGGTACATAGTGAATCAATACTGCATTTGATTTTGCTGCTCCTCCTCCTACTGCTCTGTAGTTAATCATCCTGAAGCACCACTGACCAGTGAAAGAGAAGTGACACTCAATATATCATCTTGAAAGCAACTTAGCAAAGGAAACCTTGTCAACGGATTCTCCTCTACTTGGAGTCAAAGCTCTCGCCGATGGCCACAGGAGGGGAAGAGGCAATGCAAAATACAAAACAGAAAGGATCACTTACTTATCCAGGATTTCACTCTCAGAACGTCATGGTGGTTAAATCCCCTAAGAAAATGTACAGCTCTAATAACTGCTGATGGTTCATGAACAGCCACCCAAGCGACCCCACACTACTGAGACTGTTGTTAATGGAGAAATTTGGCAGCACCCAGAAATACTGCCCGGCCACCTGAGCCAGGCTAACCCATACATTACAAGCATTCTTACTTCACAACATCATTTCCACATTCCCTGCAGCAAGAATACTTCATCACCCCTGTCACCCCTACAAATGTCTGCCCCTATTACCTGAGTTCATTTTTATGGATTTCCACTATTTTCCTTTCCAGCTTCTGCGACTGCTTGGGGAAAATCTCAAACTCACTGATGTAATTCTCAGGATGTTCATCAGGATCGTAATCACCGAGCTCAGCTGTAACCAGTGGAAAATAAAGAGAGAGAGAGAGAGAGATTAAAAACAAGAGCAGGGTGCAGACGCGACGGCTCCCGCCTCCCAAAAGGAGTGCATGGAACAAGCTCACTCAACAAAACGTGTTGGTGTCCTCGGGAAGACCACAGCCTGCGTGTCCAGAAGGTCATGTTCTAGTTCAGCCTTGGCTGTGTTAGCCTGGGCACTTGCCAACCTCTCTGGGTCTCATTTTCTTCATTTATACAATAAAGGAATTAAAATCATTGTATCTCAAAGGGGGCACTATTGGCATCTGAGGAAATAATTCTTTATTGTTTCAGATATTCCAAGGCATGGTGAGACTTAGCACCCCCACCCTTCAAGTTCTAAGTGCTGGCGGTGATACTGCCACCCAAAATGCCCTCCATTCTTTCCAAATACTCCCCGTGATAGGAGATGGTACCACTTCTAGCTGGAAACCACTGGGTGTTCCTGAAGGTTCCTTTCACAGTTTACTTTCTCTGAGTCGAGGAATTCCCTGGCTGGAGCTGCCTGCTCTGAGATTTGAGCAGGTGTGGCTCATTCAGTGAAAAGTCACAACATAAAGACACCCAAGAGGATTGTGCTTAAAAATAAACGGATTGCTCTTCAAATTAAAGAGTGTGTGTCTAAGTATGGCTGAGCAGCCCTAAGGTTGTTGCTGTTCTGATATAGCGCACCACCAGAGGGTCTTTAAGGGTAAAAAGAAATGCCTGCACATCTGTGAGCACCTAGAGGGTCTAGGAGAGGATGGACTTGGGATGTGCATGGACCACAGCCTAAAGCAGCAAAGGTGATGCTGTGCGCTGGGAATACTTCCCACTGATCCCACAAGCTTGCTAAGGAAAATGACGCAGAAGGGGAAAGTATCTCAGGCAAAATGGCCCAGGAAAGGAGATCAGAGATGGTGGGGAAATTGTATTGCAAGAATCTGATCAACAACATGACTTTGAAGTAGAATAAAAATCCATATGCCGTAAGCACATCTGCACAATCACATCCAAGTCTGTAATTTGTATCTGCTGTCCCTTCATTGTTGAATCATCTAATGACTGTGAAAGGACAGAACTGGGAGGAAAGCAAAGCTCTTTAAAGCTTCTTAATAGAGTTCAAATTAGAGTTCTTAATCTAAAATGGATACCACATGAGGAGGACTTTTAAAATAAAACCCCAAATGCCATCAACCACAGCGGGGGAATTAATTTGATCATATCAAAATTAAAATATTTCTGTTCATTAAAGGACATCATAGTCAAAATAATAGATGACAAGTGAAAGAATATATTTGCAAAATCTACATTGGACAAGGGTTAATATTTAGAACAGAGGAAAAAATCCCTACAAATCAATGAGTGTATGGGCAGGAAGACCATAGGAATATGGGTCAAGGAACATAAGCAGCTGTTTCACAGACAGGGAAACCCAAAGGGCTCATTTACGGAGAGCTGCTCAAACTCTTCAGTGACGAGAACTATGCAAGCCAAAACCAGGGGACGTGACTTTCTGCCTACGAGGGTAACAAAAAGTTTAGGAAGTCGGATGATTCTTTGGATTCTAAGTGCGGGCAGGGACATGAGGAAATGTTAATGCTTGTGCACGTCTGAAGATTTTCTCTTCTAGAGAGCGAGCTGGGAGTATTTAGTCTAACATGATCTGGCAACCCCACTTCTGGGAGTATATTCTAGAAAAACTGGGTGCAAAAAAGGATATGGGGCAACTTGGGTGTTCATTGTTGGTGGGAGCAATAAATAAATAGCACATGGACAATGCACCTTACTGGATACTCCGTAGCAATTAAAAGCAACAAAATAGATGTATACCTAGCAACCCAAATAGATCCCCTAGTGTTCTGAGCATAAAAAGGAATGAGTTCTGTAGCCCTATTTGATTTATGAAATTTAAGAGTATATACAAACAAAAGAACACTTATCATTTCATAAAGATATATGCCAAGTCAAAGATATATATGAACCCAGTTGTTGCCTTTAGGAATGCAGAATAATGAAAAAAAGGAAATCAGTCAGTCAACAGATGGGCCTAAAGGGACCAGTGATCAAAGTGGGCCACCGACTAATGATTAACTCAATCTAAGTTTCAAAATACACGTGACACACCTCCA